AGTAGAGCAACAGACCCCGATCGTGCCACTGACGGTGATCATTGGGATAAAAAGCTAAATGAAAATAACGCTGCTAAAGATAAAAAAGACCAAGAAAATTCCTATCCGGGGTACGATATGTTGTAAGGTTAAACTGTGTATGCACTTTGCTTCGCCTAAAATGACTTTATATTTCGAAGACAAGCCACGACAATCAACAGCCTCGGCGAGTAGTAATTAGTAATGCTGATAATAAAGGAAAATTAACACATTATGAGGTCAAATATGGGATCAACAGTCTTGGCGAAATAAGAAAACGTCCTGAGTTTTGATTCAGGTGACTTGCCTAAACATCGATTGAGATACTCAGCAGCAATCATTTGAGACCACCTTATGCTTTGCTCATCATAATCGTTGGTTCCATTCGTGAAAGACCTTTTGAATGTCTGGAAGATTCTTGGCAGAATATGCCACAGGGCGTCCAGCTAAACAAAGACTGTACAGAGTTAGCACGGTGCCAAAACTAACATTAAAGGACGTCAGTTAAGAGAATAAATTTAAGGCCAATCAAAAATCCACTGGCTAGTATTCAATTGTAAGGAAATTAGTAGTGAAGCCTACATTGAATCCACAGCTGGTAGATTGTAGAAGGTACTGAATTTCATCAGAATCACCAAGCCTGGCAACAGCAGCAGTTCTTTGGGGGTTAACAGAGGCTAGTTGGGCCATGACAAGCCAGTAGCCGTGATGTTGGGAATCTTTTCGCTGACACATATCAAGAACCCGACGAGCATCCTACAAACAACGATTCGCAGTTGAAAAGACTGGAAAGGGCTAGCAAATAATGCATGAGCAAGGGAGAGCTGTGATAAAGTATCAAGAGAAGTGGCAATAGCGTCCGCGGAAAGCGTAAAATCATACAAAGAGCCCGATCATTCACACATCGCATGCCAAATATAGGGACTGATTCAGTCTCCAACGCTAGCACTAAAGCTTGCAACGAGATGCAGTGATCTAAAAATCCAAGTAACAAGAAAATTGCCATAGTACAAAGGCGCGTAACAACAAATTTACCTCTTTTCGATCCATTTCAAGGAGTTTTGAGGCAAGAGAAACACCAGCGTGCAAAAACTGCAAGAAAGATAGTTTAGATATGCTAGAACTCGTTGAGACCCTTAGTGAAGTGAGCTTTCAATGGAACAAATAAATGGCGGTGCTGTCGGCATAAAAATAATAGCAAAACGATGGTAGGCATTAATGCAGAGATTTAAACCAGGCAAAAAAATGAAAGCAGGTACCTGGCTGCAGAGTAAAAAGGCCCTTGCAAAGCAATATGCTGATTGTCTCGCCACAAAATCTGCAAATGATAATGAGTGTTAAAGGTAAAAGCAATTCTATTTTAAGAAGTCAAGGTGGTGAAAAGCATATGGTGAGAGTAAGCACAACTGATGCATGGAGTGTGCATACCTCCACCTAAGGCAAGGACGGAGCCCAAGCCGAACCATGCGAACGCGGCCAACTGATCGTCACCAGGCTGCAGCTGTTTGCAAACCTGAAGAGCCCTTAAAAAGCACGCCTCTGATTGCAAGAGGAATCGCCGACCATCCTTAGCAAAACTCCTGAGCCCACCAAAAAGCGGTCTAGCTAGTTCCCTTTCGTCCCCCGTCTGAGCATAAGTAGCCCGAGAGAGCTCCAACAAACCCAAGCATATCCATGCAAGAAGCGTCTCACGTCCCATTGCAACACCCGTGGAGGATTTGAGAAAAAGAGACATCATTCTGGGAAAAAATGACACTCTGCTAAGCGATTGAATGCGTTGTCATGGCAGTGTAAAAAGCAGTGGAAAGTATTCAGCAAAGATAATTTCAAACTAAAAGAGAAGCCCACCACTGTTCTTATAAGGATGAAGAGAAAATGGATAAGGAATAGATTCGCGTAAATGTGACGCTTACTGTATTCCGCCGAAAACATTTACAGTTTGGCGATAAGATGTAAGAACTAAAGCTAGCAATAACAAATATTGAAACTCGAAACCTTGATTTTGTGCCTAGCTACATCCAAAGCAACTCACATGCTAGAGATATCAATGCATGTGGACACTCGCAGTAGGCACATTGTCTCGTCTTCACCGGTTATTTGAGAACACTTCATAAGACATACGAAGGCCTTTGGAACGCGAACTCTGCGTTCCAGAAAAAGTGATGAAGGCGTTGTATGTTGATAAAAATTAAGATAGACTGTCCGTAAACGCACTTTAAATTGGTGTCATGAAAGGCAAGAAGGAGGCTCAATGCATAGCCGATGTAGTACCAGAGCCATTGGGGTATGCTCGACGGTATGGACTGGAAAATACTGAGACCATAAAAAAATATACTTGATTAAATAACGTTCGACATTAACTAACAAACTAATTTTTTACAAGATTCATGAAGTTACTAATTGTCAGAATATCACACTTGATACCATTTTAAAAAAAGTACAGATGGAGTTCAGTGTCTCGATGCTCCAACGAATCCACTTCGTACAAAATCCTATCATAAAATATTTCAAAGCATACTGGATAAAAGTCAAGTAAATTAAGCATTGCAGACTGACATTATTGCATCCGAACGAAAAAAACGTGACATGTCTCTAAAAATATTGCTATGATGGAACAGAAATGCAAATCTCAGCCTATTTGAAGGAAGTGTAATGTGGAACCACAAAGTTTAAGGCAATTTTGACTACCATGGCTGTTATATTCAGCTCTGAATTCGTTACAAGCTTTACCAATAAACGGAGCTTCGCTTCAGATTATAGTCATTTCCAAATGTCACTGCAAAAACGCTTGAGTTGACAAAGCATCAGCAAAACAAATTGACAAGACTACCTCGAACCGTGGGAGAGAGCGGTCTCTATGTAATCAAGCGCTGTCGTTCGCATCCCATTAATCAAATCCTGAGTAGCTAATTTTACGTTCAGTTCAATTAATCCTACAAGTTCAATAAAGCGCGGTCATCAGTTATGCAGTCAGACTGAAAATGTGGTTCTAAAACAAACCTTTTTTGGCAAGAAGAGATAAAGAGTGAAGCTTCTGACGCTTAATAAGCTCTGTGATGCGGCTGTAGACCGTGAGAGCAGTTGAGTAGTCAGAGAGAGCGGTGCAGGCTTGAGCGTATCTAGATGAATAGGAAGTGCTGCAAAAAGCGACAACTTAAGTGGATTTAGTTAACGCATCTCAAAACTTACAATATTTGAGCCATCAAACGGTTAGGATCAAGCTGAAAGGATATTAGAACGGCGACGTAAGAAGGCTTAAACCTTTTGCTACAAAGCATGGCAGTAATATTTACTTGGATCGACTTTTCCAGAGACTGCAATGCGATTCCAAAGCTTCCACGTGCCATGTAGCTCTGTCCCAATATCTCCCATGCTAGTCTAAATGGAAGTCTGACGTTAGGGCAGTCGTGATAATAAGCTGTATCAGCTACCGCAAATGAAAGCGCTCACGGATTCATAGGTTGGGATCTTACAACTCTTTGCAGCGCTGGGACACACTCAGCAAGTTTCTTCAAGTGGAGAGCGATCAGACCATAGTTGAGACACATTGCAGGAGTAAAAAGTCTTAAAATAAATGCTGTCTACTTCTTAAATGCACAAGCAAAAAGGCCCAAAATCGGAAGTTAGCTCACTTGTGATCAGTCTTTTTGTACACTTCGTAAGCGTCTTCCTGAAAGAGAGGGAAAGGAATATTAGGCAACAACAGACATTGCTTAATGAAATGCTTCAATCCTTGAGACAATGTTGACAGCAATGTTGACAGAAGCACATCCTGTGCTTTGCACAAGGTATATTTACAAAACTAACTCTACTCCACGAATTTTGTGGCGTAAATTGCATGGTTAAGAGAGTAACAAACTCATACGAATTTTCCTAGCTTGCAGAACGTGGAAGCTAGCGGATGAGCTATTTGGGGATGGCCTGGAACCATTTGCCAGGACCGACGAAATGCTTGGAGCGCACGTCTAAAATCAAAGGAAGATTTTGCGAATAGCATAATGTCCGCGTATCAACAAATACGATTTAAATCACAGTCCAAAAAGAAATACTTCAGAAGCTCAAAGTGAAATGCAAGGAGACAAAATCACATCTACAAAATGCATTTAACTAGAATACTTTCGTCACTTAAATAAAGAGAACTTACGTATAATCCTTTTTTTTCAAACGAAAAGCATGACCAATATTGAGATAATTAAGATAATAGTTTTTGTCCCGTTTGATCCCACGATTGAAGTGGTCTAAAATCGTATCCACTGGAGCCGAAGGCAGTTTCATGAGCAACCAGCCGGCTAAGCTGTGATTGTGCGCAGAAAATCCGCTTTCTTCTATAAAGTCTGCCAGGCTTAAAATTCCTACAAAATAGTCTCCTTTTTACAAAACAACAGTTTGAAAACCGAACAATTAGACTTATGCACAAAGATTATAAAATCCTTACTTTCAATGATATTTATCGCTAGAGCTTTCGTGCAGGAAAGCAAAAATGATAGCTCAGTAATATTCGAAATTACTGTTGTCAGCACTTGCCTTGAAGGATAGCTAGCTGATCCGAATAACAACACCGTAGAGAGAGCCAGAATTTGACCAACTTAGCTCGTAGAGTTACTTCGATGGAATAATTTGCAGATAGGTCAGCTGAGGATGAACAATCTACATAATTCTGTAGACTAGCGATATCATCCACCAAAAGGCAACACTCCGTGAAAAGAACTGCCTGAGGTAGAGGCCAAGTAAGTTTCTCTTTCGCACCCTACAAAGTTAAGCGAAATAATAATGCATGCCTTGGAGCACGGTGACTAAACGACTCAACTAACCAAACATTCTGCTGAATAGAAACGAATTGCTGGGACCAACAAGTGCCTGAAATTTGACTTAGCGACGTTACTGAGAAGTAGGCAACCAGCCCAACCGAACACACGATGAAGAGGAGTTTGGTCTTGAGACAAAGAGTTGCCAAAAATACGAACAGGAGTGTAGAGCAGCCGCGGTGTTAGAAAGTCTGTCATGGTGCTCGGAGGTGCACTTGGCAAACTGGTAAGGTGGGCGAGATCCTTAGCCACTTGTGCATAACTTGAACGGCAAAAGTCCATCACTGAATTGGAGAAAGTTAGGTGAATGCCGAGATCAACAAATGATTGGGTTTCATAAAAATTAAGAGAAGCAAATAACTAAACTTACAATCCCGTAGAATGAAATCACAGCGAATGAAATCGTTTAGTGCATATGCGATGATCGCACCCAGCGCCGATACTAGAAGCAGATGGTAAACACTGGTTTATTTTCGCAAAGGGACGTAGTAACAAGGTGGCAAACAGAGATAATAGCAACCGAAACCTAACGATATTGCAAAATGAAGATTGACAATTGATTAGCAAACTCAAGCATACTGTGTACGTCTAGGAAACCCTGCCGCTGCCACCTTTCCCCCACCTTAAGTCCACGCACCGATAGCCCCTGTAAACGACTAAAAGGCTGCCGCAGAGAGTCAAAATTCCCTTCATCCAAAGCGCGACACGTTTCTAGGAAGGATTCAGCAAGCACTAATGTAAAGTACGCGGTGTCGCTTCCTCTGTCTAGGCAACCGCTCAGTCGTTCGGTGTATGTTTTTAGTAAAATCAGGTCAGTTCGCTTGACGTTTACACCAGCAAAACTGACTACAAAACCGTCAAAGGTTTGTTCATCTTCCAACGATGGAGAAACTGAAAAAAAGTAAAAATTGGCTGAGAAAGTAGTCTCAAGTTAAGGAGTTGATGATGGTGAGCACGAAGAATATTGGTTCTACTGTTTGGAGGTCTAGAAAGCATTATATAATGCTCTAAGGCCCTAAAATTAATTACAAATGGAATAGGAATAGAGGTCGTACTTAAATTATTGTGATTCGGAGGCATTACTGAGAAAACAAATGAACCATTCAAAATCCAAATAACCGTAATGATTGGAAAATAGTTACAGATTGCTGATTCGACCAATAATCGAATACTAGCTTCGAGGGCGAAGGCGTCGGCGTTGTCGGAAGCGAGGACAAGATTGCACAATTCCCTCAGTGGTGGTAACCCAGGCGGAAGCTAAAGATCAAACGTTGAAAAGGAAACGGTTCCACAAGTCCACAGTATAAATATTGTCCCGATTTTTGCGATGGAAACTACGAGTTGGCATCTGGCATCCAACGGCATCAAATCCATACTTAAGGTAAGCAAAGGCAGCATCATTCACGGTAAGGTATGAATCTGGAATAGTTTTGCTAAATGTCAAACCAGAATCATTGATTACATAAGGTTATGCATGCTAAGGTTTCATCACCAATAAATTAAACCAAAACCATCAGACCAAGATGAATTGCAAGAGCGGTTATTGGAAAAATTAAAGCCACAGTTACACCTACCTCTAAACGATAACGAACGAGAACATGGAGAAAATCTGTCATACATTCAAGACGTTTCTTTGGGGTCCCCTCACTTGAATATATTAGAGAGAAGTGAAAAAGGATAATACCTTGCGTAATGAGGTATTAGATGAATGAAGCATTGAAGAGTGAGTGAATGAAAACGGTTTGGGTCCTTCAAACAGAATTTACAAAGTCCCTAAAATAAGGAAAAAACAAATGGCTCTGAAAAAGATGCTATTCCTAAGTAAAATCGAAGCACTGCATTTACATGCCAGGCAGTTAGATTCTTATTGTCCAACATGAGAACCTTGTGCACGGTGTCCACGGCCTTGTCTTCGTTGCCCAAATTATCGTAGCAGGCGGAAGCGAGGAGGAGACAGGTGATATTTCTTTCACCCCCCTCATCATCAAAAATGAGCTAGCCACAACAGAGAATAGAACGAACTTATGAGTGCAGAAAGCGTATGATGCAGGCGAATAAAGTAATTAGAGTCATATAGATTGATGACTCTGGAACAATCAGAGAATCATCTAAGATCAAAAATCCATATTATTCGTGTTGGTTCGAAAACACCTTTAGAATAAAAGTAAATGCTTCACGTATCCTAGAATCATTTGAAAATGCAATTAAAAATCCTATAACTTCAAATTAGCACCACGACCGATAAGGGAGTAAGTGAGTAGTTTGACAAAACCTGCAATTCCTTCAAACACGCATTGAAAGATCCTTGCTGGAATAGATGTTTGGCCTTCCTCGTAAGAGCCTTTGCATCAACACGCATAATAGCACTAAAAACACTGGACAAATGAAGGACGTCAGCCTTACCAGATTAACTGAAGAAGCAACGAAGCACTGATAAAGTGCAGGACCAATCGTACTAAAAACACTGCAATGATCACAATACATCTGCAACGAAATCTCAGTTACCAGCGCTTGAAGTACAGCGTAAAAAAGCAGTTATAACAGCCACATCGTTAATAGTATTTGAAGTGATGCTTGCCAAAGAAGCAAATGGCATTAGCAGAGCGTTTGGATTCCTCGAAACTTGTGTACACTAATCAATTTAATTAAGGCCCCTTTTTGTTCCCAAAACATTTTTGCGCGCAAATATAAATAAGACAATAGCAAATAATTTGGCTTTAATTTTGACATTGATATATCTCTACCTTGTTAGTTCAAAGCCCCAATATCTTTAAAGCTTAAGATTAAACATTTGGCTTCTTTTAATCAGCATAGGCGTGCTCTGAATTTGCATTTCTCAACCAATCACACTTTTTGCGTTCATTGTACGAAATGGTGGGAAACTTGTTGCTCTTCTGAACAATCAGGCTGAGGGCGATATGGCTCATCGTCACCCTATAAATGAATTGTAGTCAGCATTATTTACAAAGAAGATGGAATTGTTCCGCGGTGTATTTCTCGGTTAAATCCATGTAGGTTGGTTTCTTCGTTCTGTGTGGCTACACTTTGACTACAACCTTATCTTCCCGTCCTTAAGTGATCAGTGTGATTTCACCGACATTGAATGTTTTCGCTAAACTCTTCCCATTTCATATCTATAAACAGGCATCACATGAATTCTGCTGTTACATTTAACGTTTGGTGGGATCTGTTGCTTCATTGTTGCTACCTGTCTAATCACTAGCATTCTATCCTGTAGGTTGTGCATCATTCCACTAGGCTCAACATGTCGCTATTTTTTACCGTTTAGTGGGATTGCTCACAGCTTTCCGTCTCGTGAGGTCTTAGTGCTGCTTTATTTAAAAGAGTTTTTCACACTGCAATCCTTCATGCTTAAAATCAAGTGATACTAGTATCTCTAGAGTGGTAAATACAGTCCTCACATGCGACAGAATTGAGTAAAATTTGTTCGGGGACTGGAGGCAGTCTTCAACTTCAAATCGTCAAGGTACCTCTTTCCACGCAATTCCATTTGGAGATACAGAGGCAACACCCACTTTGAAGGGACGATACACTTTACGAGAACGGATTTCAAGCCTTTACCATCTTATCAGTCTAGATTCATTGCTGAAACTTCCGCATTTATTATTATTTTATTAGTATTCCGTTTGTGTTTCGCGGTACTAGCCTCTGGTCATTTACCTGACTTTTGAGATAGGCAGATCTGCAACTGTGTTAGGATCCTTTTACTATATGCTGCTGTATCAGGTTACTTGCATTAAGCTTGACGTTCTCAACTGTCTAGGCTGGTAATTTGACGCCTTCCGCTGCACGGAGAGATTACGGGAACACTCACCTGCCCTGAACGATGCGATCGGTTGATAAGGCGCTTGTTTTAAGGATAGTGCTTCTCACCTCTATCTTCTGGCTATGCATTCAATTTTTTTTCTTACATTTCCTGATAATCCCCTGTAAGTTTGCCTTTATCAGTTCTATATGTTTCTTTTCATGTATGGAATTTTCATGATTTCATTGAATGTAGTTAGGCGAGCGGTGGCTCATCTGCTACGACGTTTGTTTGATTTGAGGTTGAGTGGCCCGATCTGTTTGCACTTTCCCAGATTTGTATCCCATCTATTACTTTAAGGTGTTTCATCACTCTGATGCAGTATTGTGACCTTTGGTGTTAGCGATAGCGGATTTTATTTGTTCGAATCTTTACTACTGTCAATTAAGTTATCAAAAAAAGTTGGGCATTCTTTGTGAGCAATCGTTGTAAACTTACATGAAGTGGAGTTGCCAATGTTTTTAAACCGATTCTGACTTCATCATCAGCTGGAGATGCCTCGGAGAAGGAGAATCAAGGGAATTTTCAAAAACAGGAGCATCATGGTGGCCTCTTCAGTGGGTTGAGTGGTGGGAGTGCGGCGGCGCTGCTTGCCCGCCTTGGCGGGGGCGGTGACGGTTCGTCGTCTCTTCTGGGCGAGGGCGGTAAGCCTGTTCGTCTTCCCGCCAACCTCATGGCTGATTCAAAAGCCAAATTCGGCCTCAATCAATTCGATGTTGTGGTCAGTAATCTCATTAGTGTCAATCGATCTCTCCCCGATGTGCGACACCCGTCGTAAGTCAACTTACTCATCACTAGATTGATGATTCTTTTACTGGTGCGTTGACGTCAATATTGTCTCTTGCTTGGGCCTTTTTTAATGCAAGACCTTGTCTCGAAAGAAATTCGTTAGATATTCATTGTTGCTTTTTCAAATCGACTTTTTGCTTTAAGATAAGTCTTCAGATTCAAATACTTCATCTTTTCGGATGCTGCCACTTTGGGAATGTGCATCTGCTTCCGCTAGTTATTGTTTCACCTGATTATCTCTATTATTATTGTTATTATTGCCCCAAGGTGGATTATTTTAAATATTTCTGGAAGAAACTAGGTTAAAATCAGTAATCTATAGTTTATTTGTTGAGGTTGTTTATAATTGGTGCTTCCTTTTAGGCTGTGTTCCAAGAAAAATGTGTGGAACAGTGGTTTTTCTTTGTAGGAATTGATTATTATCTCTGGAGTATTTTTATGGGTTTGATCCTATCTAAACTGCAATTTCAGGCATACTTCAACCCTGCGTAATCCAGCTTCATTGGGACCCGATAATAAGGTTCAAAACTACTTTACACAGCTCTTTACTGTTACGAAAGCCTTATTGTACTGTGGTAACATTTTCTTTACTATGGAGCTGTTTTCGATTTTAAAATACTTTTTTTGCACAAGATTTTTTGGCTTTTAATCTTATTTTCCTAGTCCTCTTATAATTACATTTGTAATTCTTCCTTTCCGCATTTTCCGTTCTTATGTGGCTGATTGCCATTAGTAAATATGATCTGTTCGATTTTAACTTATCCTGTTTTCTACTAAGCCTTATGTTCTCATGACCGTATTCCTCCTCCCACTTTTCAGAGCACCTTCATAGCTCTGTATTTTGG